TGTACTGCACTGAAATTCAGTTGCAAGACATGGGAAGTCTGTATTACAGCCAAACAACTACTAAAATCAGGTCGGAACAAGATTAGTTCTGCATTGTGACAACATGAAAGCTATTCACAGGTCACTACGAAACATGGAGTTTTGACAAACTGTATTTGTCAACAAGGAAATCCCTCCTCCTCACCTCACCATCAGTATTCTTCATTTCACTCACTTGTACCCTCACTTTTTCTATAAAAGCTAAGTATTTCCAGTCTTTTTTCACTGAAGGCTTACCAAGCAATACAAAAGTTACTAAAGGCATATATTTGCTGATAGCAAAAGTCATACTTACTACCAAATATCACATTAACATTTTTAACAAAAGCAAAAATTTCATCCTAATTAAAAACCTTATCACAGATTTATTTTTTAGAATCACAAAACCATAGGGAATTAAAACATCTCAATAGCATAAAAGAATATAAACAAAAATATTTTTAAAAATAGGAACAAAAATCCCTTTTAAGTTAATCTTCTTATAGCAGCAAACTTCTTCAAAAGTTTAAATATTCAATATAAACATTACAGCAAAAATACCTGGACAGCCTCTTGTCCATTGCAAGATATTTTTGCAGTAGTAAACACATGGTGTCTTATAGTCTTCCTTCGATAAAGTTGATGGAGTTTAAGGGAAAAAAAGGCATAAAACCTCTCCAGAATAATCTCCAGGAGCAAAGAAATTTATCTATCCATGATCAGGATAAAAAATATGAAATTATCACACTGACATGCGCCACTTCTCACTTTGCCAGCAGCGTCGGCTAGTATTTCCCTTTTGTTTGCTCCACTTACAAGTGGCATATCTTCTTACATTTGCACATGGTCTTTCTCTACATTTGGAACTTCCCCCAAGCTCAGAAAGATCTATTCCTTCTCCCTACAGAAGTTTACAAGAATGACACAAACTATTTTTAAAAAATATCCATTTTCTCTGCCGTGAGCAAAGCTGGCCTTTGCTGGAGAACTACAGTTAAACTCTCAATCACCTTACCGTGGTACTACAAACACATCCTCTGAATTACTGTCACTTCGAACACACACAGGTCTGTAACAAGTATAAGACAGCCTGACTTACCTTAGCCCACAATGAATTTGACTACAGACTATATGTGCAGCCTAGTCTACTACTGGACCTCTCTCACATCAAACAAAACAGACATAAGACTCTAAGGATTAACCTTTCTGTGTTTTCCCCCCAAAAAACATTTACAATAACCTGTTAAGCAGAGTTAGAATGTGTAGTTCAAGCAGTTACCACCCCTTAGCAACATTCAGTAACCACCCACTTGAACTCTTAAACTTGTCTTCTTATGCTCTAAAATATTAAGGGATAGTTTGTATTAATCTCTTTTGTGCTTTGTATCCAGCCTACCTTCAGTGTCACTTTAAGTCCCTCCTTCACAAAGATTACTTTGCATTAAAATAGACCCATAAAGGCAGCCAGCTTACCTTGCTGAGAAAGCAAACTACTTAGCTCAAAAATGCACCTGCAAGGGCTTATGTAATTATGTCCAAATGCAATATATTATGCTCTCAATATCCAGGATCCATCTCTCTCAACATCTCCTGCAAACATCATTTGGTATTATCTATTAATTTCAGTTAATCAATTATAACCTGTAGATCAGCATCACCATACAAAACTAAAAAGGAGTACAAGACATCAAATTACTAAGGATGATAAAACTATTTATAAAAGAACTTCAATAATTAACTCCAAGGATACTATACAGCATAATGTGCATGTTCCATGTATTATATCATTTTTTAAAATAATTCTGAAGTCTTTTACAAGTACAGCAGTACAAAGGGCTTGCCCTAACAAACATACCCTTTTTTTCAAAATGTCCATATTGCTGAAGTTTTCATCCACTCTTTCATCCTTCTTGCCTATTTGTCATCTTAAAGTCTCATCTAGTGATCCCTCCACTCTAGGTAATACAAGTTCACTTTCCAACTTCTCCCCTTCTGTCTTTCATTATGCTGAAGTCATACTCTACTTTTCATTTTTCTACTACCTTTCTTTTCTGAGCTGACTAGTCTCATTCACAAGACTCCTTTGCATCTATCATTTCATTCTGTACTGTGAAGTCAGCTCCGCCTCAAATTGGCTTCTTCCATTATTCACCTGTCAAGTTTTCAAACCCTTTTATTCTTTTCTCTGGTCCCCTGCTAATACTGGCAGGGCTGCCTCTAGCCCTCCCCAAGACTGTCATTATTGTCCTTTAAAACTCCTCTATGTCATGATCCTGAAAAAAAATTGAGCAAGGTATGCTAATGCCAGAGCTTCCCATGCTGACTCATCCTGTATCACCTCTGCCTGTGCCCCTGTCATCCATTCTGACCTTCTGTCTTATATTTAAGAGCCATTTCTTTTGAGTGGAGGCTGACTTCTGGTTTTGGGTTTGTTGATGCTCATGCACTGGTATACGATTACAGCCCCTAAAATTCTGTTAGTATGAGTAAAAAAATGACAGACCTAGTATTTCCACAGACTACAACTGCACTTATTTTTAAGAGTAATGCAACCTTGCAGCAAAGGTGGCTAATGGTATCCCAGGCTGCATTAGGAGGAGCGTTGCCAGCAGGTGGAGGGAGGTGATCCTTCCCCTCTACTCAGCACTGGTGAGGCCACACCTGGAGAGCTGGGTCCACTTCTGGGCCCTCCAGTACAAGGGAGATGTGGGCATACTGGCGAGAGTCCAACAAAGGGCCATAAAGATGATTAAGGGACTTGGGTATCTCTCCTATGAGAAGAGGCTGAGAGAGCTGCCACTGTTCAGCCTGAAGAGAAGGCTCATGGGGACCTCATCAGTGCATGTACATACCTGAAGGTAGGGTGCAAAGAGGATGGAGCCAGACTCTTTTCAGTGGTGGCCAGTGACAGGACCAAAAGCAATGGACACACACTGAAACACAGGAGGCTCCCTCTGAACATCAGGAAACACTTTCTTTACTGCGAGGGTGACCAGGCATTGGCACAAGCTGCCCAGGGAGGTTGTGGAGTTTCCCTCCTTGGAGATATTCAAAAGCCATCTGGACACAGGCCTGTGCAACCAGCTCTAGGTGGCCCTGCTTGAGCAAGGGGGTTGGACCAGATGACCTCCAGGGGTCCCTTCCAAACTCAACCATTCTGTGATTCTGCTCTCTCAGCCCTGCTAACCAAAGATATTTCTGTTATTTTCCGATTTGAGGCACCTATCTTTTACATTTAGTGACAAGCAGAGTCTCGCTGTCTTTTTAACTCATAACCTGTTCCCTGACTGTACCATAAAAGTACATGGCAAAATTCCCCATCTACTGCAATGGTAACACAAACAACAGATTCCTGCCCCAATCCTGGATTTGAGGTTCCCTTATACTAAACACTGAATAATCCAGGGGAAAAAAAAAAAAAAAAAAAAAAATATAGTGCAGTGTTACAGTCTGACTTTTGTACCCACGCAAGAAGCATGACGAGTTGCTAAATGCTTCTTCAGTTGAGGTCGACCAAACTTGTGTTGCACCCTTCCACCCAGTAGTGGGAGAGGGAAGGCGTACACCACATACTGAGCTGGCATGGATTGTTTCATCCCTGCCTGGCAATCTGAGTCCCCATCTGAGCCTCAGACTAAGTAATTAGATGTCATACCTAATTTTGGGTTAATGCAAAAGACATCAACAATGCCCAAGTGTTTGAGGTCTACAGTTCAGAAGGCAATAGTAGGGAGGAAAGCATGCTAGTAAAGACATTAGGTTTCTATGTTGGTAATAAATCAGTCTCTTCAGAGATCAACTGTTCAATGTATCAAGTCACAGACATCAATTCTGCATGTCAAGTCACACATCTCCACATAGGCAACATTTCCTAATGTAAAAAAAATAATCCCAACCTTCCCTTCCTGTTTTATTACTGGCTAAACAAATACAATCCAGAGTAAACCTTCTTTATAAGCACAAGCTATCAACACTCTTAGAACATATTCTTAGAACAGAAAAATATCCAGCAAACAAAAGACCATACTCGCTGCTGGGATACAAAACACGCTAAAGAATCTGCTTGAAAAGCATTCCTATATATAGATCATCACCTAACACTCTGTAACACCTACCAAGGATTCTACAGTTTGGGATAGGGCAGACTGCATTACTGCACTGCTCTTCTCTGTTTGCTCAAAGCTGTAACATTTCTACTAACATTCCAGTCTCCGTCTTCTCTCTGTGTTATTCCTGAATGACCTTGGCTCTCATTGTATGTGTGGCAATACACTTCTTTGAAGCACATACTGCTGCATTGCACAAGACTGCCCTAAAATAAATCATGTAGGGAGAGTAATAATGCCAGGAGCACTGACTTATTCCCAATGTTGCCAAACAATTCTAAATGCAACCTATTTAACACACGACCTGCTTCTCTCCTCAAACATATGCTGACAACATCACCTGAAGAATGAAATGCTGTCACCATTTTTACTTTATAGGCACAACTTAATTCAAACCATATTATAATCAGTACTTACTGTGCTTCATAACTAACTATTCTGTGTATTAGAAAGAGAAAGAAGAGAGAGAGAAGGCGGGGGGGAAGAAAAGCAGAGGGGGGGCAGGGGGGAAGCTAAGTGCTCTGAACTGAAAATTACAACCACTTGTCTAGAAGCCCATATGTGAAAGTGGAACCTTAACAGTTTTGGAGTTTTGGGGTTGGGTTTTTTTTTAATATTAGTCTGAACAGCTAAAGTTAATATGGTTTCTTTTCCCACTTTTTACTAGGACATCTCATAGAATAGTGCTGAAAGCTGGCTCATATGGCATTACTCACAGAAGCTTTACTCATCATAAATAAGAGTGGAATACTCAGCCCTCATAGGCTGAAAACCAGGTAGAAACCCAGTAAAGTATCTGAACACAAGTGGAGGAAGTAGGGGAAAATCAGCAACTTATCTATAAGTGCAGACAGTTATAGGAAAAAAGGTACACACCGAATTTTCTTCCTCCTCTTCTAGTTCTCTCTGCTGTTCCTCATGTCGCTTTGCCTTTATCTCCATAGCTTCAGTGATCAGGTCCCTTAAAATTGAAACTGGCTTGGCATTCTTAATGAACGTATGCTAGAAGAAAACAAAATCATTAAATTATGTAACATCATTACAATAGTTACGCTTCCGATGTAATTACAAGTATTATTCAACACCACAGATTTCAGTGACAGTATTTTACATTAGACAATAATTAAAGTCTAAGCTAAGACAATGTACAGTATCTTTTAGCTGCTTCATCACTAAGATTTTACTTTAACTACTTTCAATAACAGCAAGCCTTAGGAAATGTAATCATGTAACAACTGTTTTATAGTTAAGGATATAATTATCCAAAGAAAATGTGCAGTAAGTAGTAGAGTGGTGATTGTCTGACATAGAAAAACAAGCTTTTTCAAATATTCAGTTACAGAATTTAATTAATCTTAACAAACTGACAGCATAAATTAGTGGCTGTAAGCAGAGCAACTATGGCTGCCTACTTCAACAAACCTGTACTTTATATGTCATAAAACATTTCTTGATCTATGATGCTGTAATGTGGAACAAGCAAAAAATATACATTACTTTCATCAGGAAGATTAATTTTTAACTCAAGGCCATTTAAAACATCACTTCTTCCTTTAAGACAACATGTGCACAATTCCATTTACATTCATTGTGCTGTCTAGTAAACACCTGCTGTTAGAAAAATTCTGATTTTCGCATCATTATATGCAAATACAATTCAGGCAAAACATAACTCTAAGCTCAGAAATGTATTATTAAGTATTAAAAAAATTGTTCCATGAAACAGAATTGATGAAGCCTAGTGTCCTACACCTATTACCTATCTTCTCCCTTGATGTATTAATTCAATTACTCTCCTTTTTCCTCCATGATCTTTCCCCACAAACAGTACTTTTATTCCCATTCACACACACCCACAGCACCTCCAGCTCCATCACACATGCTCCAAATTCCAGCTGGGGGAAAAGGCAATACGTACTTGTGCCGGACACGGTGTTTGGTTTTCTGGCCAGTAAGCACGTGGAAAGAGTAACACTGAAGCTTTTTTTTTTTTCCTTCCTTACTTGCACACATTAATACAATCTGTATTCAGTATTCAGCTAACCATACAAACTTCAGATCTTTAAGGTCTCAAGTACTGATTCATACATCATACACAGAAAAATCTCTAACTTTCAATTTTTACTCTGCTTGCAGTCTACATTTTGGTGTTCTCACAGTGTAGAAAATAAAATATTCATAACACAACTTATGAATTTGACAATCTATTGCTGGAAACTACTTTGCAAAATTTTTATGTTCTCCTTGTAGTGGAGTTCAATGGAATTTAAATTTTTAAAAGAGGCTATTGCTAGCTAGAGACAGAATAAATCGAGCATGAGCGTCTTGCAGATGCAGTTTCAGAAGATTGGATTCTTATGTAGACTGATGAACAAAGAAAATTAAGAATAATATTTACCAATAGCAGTGAAAAGCATAAAGAACTCTGAATTATCAAAAAGTTTAGTGAATTCGGAATCAGGAAAGTAAAAGGAGCAAAGGACCTAGCAAAATTTTTCACTTCTGTCTCACGATTAAAGCAAGCTTATTTACAGGAAATTTTAGATTCCACTTCAATCATCATGGAACCTATTACAGTTTTTCTAGAAATCT